GAAGTTAACTATTGGAGCAGCAAAAGGAGGAAAATAAAAAAAAAAAAATAATTAAATAATAAATAATAGCCCACTTGGTGTGTGCATGAAGTGACTAAGAAGGGGAACTTGTTGTCTCCCTTTTCGTCACTTTGAATGTTGTGTCCCAAAGCACTAACACGCATGTAGTCGCCCTTTTTGCGCCCACTTATGCCCCCCCTTTCCAACCACTGCAGGGGAGAACGAGTCGGATGGAAGCAAAGAAAACGACTATGATTCGGGGTGCAAAAAAGGTGAAGATATTAAAAAAATCGAAACGAAAGAGTTCACATCGAGCAAAGAAAAGTCAGATAAAAAGAAGAAAAAAAAATGTAGCAAATATATAAGAGATGGCTATGGAATTTTAATAACGTTAAGGAGAAACACCTTTGGTCAGGACGTAATTGTGAACAAATTCATTGGTAACTGGAAAAATAATAAAAAAAGCGGATTGGGATTTAATTTATATCTGAATAGGAATGTCTATTATGGGTATTATGAGAATAATGCAAGAAATGGATGGGGCCATTTCGAATGGAGAGCCAATCAGTCAAGTTATGAAGGGAATTGGGTCAACAACCAGATGAATGGCAAAGGGACATATAAAAGTAAAGCTTTTTTGTTCGATGGAGACTTTTATAGTAATAAATTTCTTAACTCGTCTGGGGAATGGATAGATGTGCTAGCCATGGAAGAGGAAGAAAAAAACGTCAGCCTTCTCAAAACATATGTAATTAGTGGTCATGAGATGATCGATTTAGTTTGCCTCCCTTTTGATTTCTTAAAAGGTCATTTAGAAAAAATTGCAGACCTTATTAAGTACAAATATAACAAGGTTCCTTTTTTCATGTGTTCCAAGGGTTTTATCGAGAAGCACAGAAATTTTAACTTGTCTAAGTTTATATTCTTAAGTTATTATTTTGGTCCTGACGAGCCATTTTGCGAGGAGAGCAGTTATTATGAGCTTCTCTTCGACGGGGTACAAAATGAGGAGGGAAAAAGAAGCGAAGGGGGGAATTCAAAAGTAGGTCGGGATGATCCTAATTTGAAGTCATTCCGGAGTGGCACCCCTTCAGATGCTGGTGAAGTGGAAGGTGGCAACAGTTCGCGGGAGTCTAGTTGTTCCAGTGGTTCTGAACGGTCGAATGCGTCGCCCAGCTGTCGTGCGACTAGTTCTTCCGAGTTGTCAAGCGGGGAGAAGGAGAGGAGCGAAGGAAGTGGTAAAGGTGGAATGCCCCCCTCCAACTCTTCGAATTGGTCAAAGGGGCGGGCTCATTCCAACTTCTCCCACGCATCTGCCTCTTCGCATGCCTCGAAGTCTTCACACTCCTCGCACCTCTCCAGCCTGTCCGCCATCACCAACAGCAAGGACAGTTGCAAGTCGACGGGCGAGCCCCATGACGATTTATATCACTCAAAAACGCACTCCCTGAATAAGGCCGACATAATCAGAAATGAAAGCAAAGACAGTATCCATAGTGACCTGAAGGAGTACATAAAGAACGCGAATAAATCGAATGACTTTAAGGAGGAAAGCTTAGCCGAAGCGCCATCCAAGTTTAGTAACAGCTTCCAAAATGGAATGAACTTCAACCCGGGCAAATGCACTGAAGATACCTGTTACGAGATGGAAGAAAGGAAAAAGAACGAAATGTACCAACTGATGAAGAAATACGTGCATATTTATGCCAATTCGGAAGACACTTCCAGTGAGTATTCGATAAGGTCCAATGAAACGGAAAGCGCCGATGAAGAGGCAGGCTTCATCAAGGTGGAAAGTAAGGAAGATTTTGATCGAAAGAAGCGTCGTGGGAACGAACAATCAGGAGGAACTAAACAGATGGATGGTATAGAGACAGTGGAAAGAAATGCCAAACAAAAAGTGAATAACGCCTCGTCAGGAGAGGGTAATACAAGTGGGCCGAATCCCTCGGAAAGTAGTCCCCCCCTGCATATGCAGAAAAAAAAAATCGAGAAGGAATTATCCAAGATAAAAATAGACACTCAGTTTTTGGGAAAACTAAAAAACTGCAATCTGACATGTATACACAAGATAAAGCAAAAAATGGAAACGTCGATGATGCTGAAGTATCCATTCATTTTTAGCTTAAGTATGAGTGAAGACAAGAATAAGTATGAAACTATAACTAAGGAATTCCTTTTAGAGAGTTGCACAATCCCTACCTCGTGGTAAAAATAGCAACCTTCACTCATTAGTGTTGCTCTATTAAAGTGTCTTTTTATGTTCGTAGTAGGAGACCTGTTCACAGGTAGTCATTATACGAATCTACTTTTTTTTTTCCTATCTCAGGTTATTAAAGAATTATTTTGGAGCCACAGAGAATAAACTATCCGAAAAAATATTTTCCCCTCCCTTTTTCGATTTTTACAATTCAAATATGAACATAACTATGCACCCGCATTTTCAGAGTCCGGAAAATAACGACGACGTGGACATTTTTAATGGTGGCGAAATTTCGCCGTTGAATCTTTTCCTCATCACAGATTTGTTAATAGGGGACACGAAAGATATCAAACATTTAAAAGGTTTAGTGAGGGACAAATTTATCAATTTTTCGTTTTTGAGTAACTTATTTTTTGTCATCCTCGAGTAGTAACCCCCATTTTGTAAATGCTTCAACTGTAAAAACCTAAAGAGGGAGTTCCGCCTTTCTGATGGGCGTGCATATTTGTAGGTGGACCCATGTATAAGGGGGCACCTATGCGCATACCTATACATAAACCATGTGTGAGAATTCCTTTTAAGCTGAAAATGAATTGATAACTTAAAATGATCCATACTGTGCCGTACAAGGTGTGTGCAGTAAAGAAAGGATGAAAAGAGGGGGCGGGGGGGGGTCATCCGTTCTATCAAATAGGTAGGTAAAGAACCGCTACTTTAAGGGCAAATGGGAAGGTGTACTGAGAATTATCACATTTACATCGCGATATGTTGCTTCTCCTCCTTGAGTGCCCTCTTTGCGTCAAGCACACCCATTTTGTGCCTTAAAAATTTTGCTTAAGAGGAAGACTAAACGGTGAAAATGTGCTATGAGTTAAGTTTCCTTGCAGTGGTGTGGCGAAACCGGCTTGCAATTAGGAAAAATAAAAAATAAAATAAAAAATAAAAAAAAATAAATACGTAGTAACAAGACGTAATGGAACATGCCACACATCGCATACATGACGACAGAAGTGACACCACTGATGGATCAGAATAATGACAGATAACACGATCAGATGTAAAGCGCGTCCAAGTGGCTGAGCCGCAGGCGCCTTTCACCCTCAAGTTTCATGATATAATCCCAGTAGCTCCTACTTATTTCGTTGCACCCCTCCGAAAAGGCCCAAATTCGAGACATGCAAATCCATGAGTTTAAAACGAACTGGTTCACATCTTTGCAGGTTTGTCGCAGAGACACAAAAGAGTCCGTGATGTACGTCGTTACATCGGAATGGATTTTTGCAGAGTGGCTTTTTGACAGTATATAATTTATGTACCTTCTAAATTGCATTAGTTCATCCTCCTTGGGGTGGTAATTTTCGCAGGTGTTGATGAATTCGGCGGAGAAAGCGGGGGGGGAGTTTTTCTCGGATTCGTTTTCCTTGTAGGGGGTTTTCGCGTCTCCATGTGCACCTTCTTCGGTGATAACTTCGCTCCTCTCTTCGCTCTTGTCTCCTGTTCTTCCTTCTTTCTGCCCCTGGTCCATTTTGCTCCCCCCCGATTGCTCCACTTTGCCCGCCGAGCTGACACCACCTTTAGCTAACCCCCCGCGGCCCTTCGCCCTTTGGTGACACACAGGGATGGGGATGTCCACATAATTTACAAACATGGACTTTTTCATAGACAAAATCAAAACGTTATTTTGCGTTTCGAAGGTAATGTCTGTGTTAAATATGAATGGGATTTCTTGCGACGTAATTAACCTCTCTATACAGAGGAAATTTTTCGTACTAACGGTGTTAAGTTTCCCTTCGTCTAAGACGCATTCGTCAAAAGCCAAGTAGGTATTATTTGCCAGTTGGAGTTTCCCCTTTTTTAATTCTCCATTTTGGTGATTCATTACGGATACTAAATATTGGCTGCTTAATTTTGTTAAACAGAGGGGAATATACCTATACAGTGGAACTAAATTTTTAATCATCTTGTTCATTTGGGTGGCGTGACTCGGGTATGATTTATTTTTCCCCTCTTTATGTTCACCTATCATCCTTAAAGAGTTATCCCCCTTTTGAGGCGGTTCTTTTGGTGAAACTTCTTCCTCCTCCTCACTGATTTGCTGGTTCGCCGTAATAGTGGTCCCCGTGTGGGAAGCACACTTTTCCCCGTCCGTCGATATGTTAAAAATGTTTAGGCTAACCTTGCCCAGCTTGAGTTTACTCTCCTCAATGTAACTGCCGCACAAGTAAAAGAAGAAATAATGAGCGACCAGCAAGTCGTGGGAAAAGCTGTTCGAGATGAACATAAGGAGGTGTTTCCTCAACTCATCGACGGTTCTGAAAGGACCACTTTGCAAAATGTCGCACAATTCATTTTTGAATAATATGCAGCTACTTAGCGGATTAAACCGCTTGACCTTGATGTAGCGAAAAGCATGAATGCAAGGATATTTTAAAAAATTTTGATCATAATAAAAATAAAAGTTCAAATTTTTTTCACAATCTTCAAAGTGTTTTATTTGATGCTTGCGATATATTCCGATGACTTCAATTACGTCATTCAGTTTTAGGAAGTCTTCTTCGTTTTTGCCGTTGTACTGGCTATTATCGTCGTATATTTTTATGATACACCTGAGTTTGTTCTTCTTTTCGAGGTCACGGCGGGGTGTCTTTGGTGCTCCGTTTGGGGGAGCACCACTAACGGTGGTGTCCTTTGACAGACCAGTTGTGTGTGTCGCTGTGTGTGCCGTTGTGTGTGCCGCTGCGTATCCCGCTGTGTGTCCCTCTGAGTTCCACTCCTCTGGCTGAAACTCACTACTGCAGATCGTTTCTCGCGAGAGACGCACATCATGGATGGATAAGTCGTCAGCCTTAGCATTGTCCTCCTCTTCAGTGGAGCAGCTCGAAAGGGCCGTATACTTCCCCGCGCAAACATTGCCACCATTCACGGTTTCGTTTTTTAAAAAATTTTCGCAATTGCTGTAGTACGAAGAATAGTCACACAGCTGTTTGCACCAGGTGCTTTTATTTCCCGGTACATTTGTGCAGAGAAATAGATATCTTTTCCAATACTTTTTAAAATTGTTATCACTTTCGAAGAAAGATATGTCATCACTACGGTTATTCAGCACCGTGTGATCTTCTTTTCTTTTCTGATCGTAATTTTTGGGGCATGCTTTTTTCTCTATCTGCTTGGTGCTCGTTCCTGCTGTGGCGTGGGTTGATTTATTGCTCAGCTGAAGATTAGCCTCATCGGTAAGGTTCTGCCCGCCCGTATGGTGTGCCTCCTTCTTGGTTCCCCTTTCATCATCCCCCATCTTGCAGTATTTCTCATAATTTAGATCGTAATATTCTCCAATGTTCTTTTTTTCGTTGTCTTCCACTATCTCCCAGTTGTCATCCGTATCGATGTAATCTCTATATTTTGAGCTCTTAAAAATTATTTCTCCGTTTTTTTTATTTCTTAACTTGTAAATCCCTACGTAACTTTCAGGAGAAATTATCTGCTGCACCATGCATGTCCATCTGACTAGGGTGGTGTCCTTAAGGTCGGCTATATTCTCGAGCGTATTTAGGCACACGCAACCTTCAACCACGTCGTTGCAAGTGAAGAGGTTTTCCTTTCTCAAAATTGACTTACTCAAGTTTCGACACCCCTCGCTGGCACAGTTTGCTTTTTCCTCAGACGAGGCGTGTTCCTGATTGGCCTCTTCACCATTCTCCTTTGTACCACTTGGGGCCTTCCCCCTTTTTTCGTACCCATTTCCCAATTCGATGTACTTGTTCACTACAATTCCCTCATCCCAGTGGGAGTCCACCTCCTGCGCGCCATGAATTTTTATATAATTCGCGAAGCAGTTGTCGATTTGGGTCAGTACGTTCATTTTGGATGTTATGACAAGAAGGTTTAGGTGTTGGGGGGGGATGTACTGGGACGCAGAGTGTGTGTGCTGAAGGTGCGGGCAAAATGGTGATTGAGCGCACTTTAGCAAGGGCGCGGGTTGGCGTATAGTTCTGCTTAAGTTGGCTTCTGTAGTTACCACTTAATTATTCATATGTTGGAGCATTCGTTGCTCTGCAGAGATGCCTGCTTTGAGGGCTTCTTTGTTGGCCGCTTTTTCGTTATCGGCTTTTTCGTTAGCGTTTTTTTCGTTAGCGTTTTTTTCGTTATCGGTTTGTTTTAACGCTCCCCTTAGGTGAGCTTCCTTGATAGCTGAGAGGACCTTGACTTTGAAAGGTGTCCAACTGGGTGGGCACAAGGTACAAGTAAGGTGCGATGTGCATGTGTACTTTGTATGTACGCATGCTCGTGGCCCTTTCTAACCTTTGCCACTCTTCCCCCACGGCGCCCTGATTTTATTTCATCTCTATCACGTAGAATAAACTCGAAGAAAAAAAGGTGGTGCAAATTGGCGAATTTCTTCCCCTTTTTCATACGTTACTTTATCTATTCTGCAGAAATGTTTGGCGCATTTACTGTGTATTATATAAAAGGCTTCACACGAGAGGGAGTCACAAAATGGCGAGTTATCCTCAAACACATCTCCTTTTCAATTGGGGCCTTCTCTTTTTTTCTCCACTTAGAGGCAAGTGCTTTATTTTTTTTCCTATGCTGGGAATGTAAAACTTGTTAGCAGTAAATTTTTGCTTGTTTTTTTTTTTCCCCCAAAATGAAGAAGCTTATTTAGGGTGGGGAGTGAAGAAAGTTACATAAAGGAAAAAAAAAAAAAAGCGTTTCGCATAAATAACTCGTGTAACCAATCTGATGATGTAATTCGAGTTAGCATTTTATGGTTGGTACTCTTTTGCGTGTTAGCTTTTATTTAATTTTTTTTTTCTTTTCTCTGCTCAACCCCTAGCGATAAAGACCTCCAATGGAGGGAAACACCCCCGTCTGTTTTTGCTCTTTCCCCAAATAATTTGTCTGATGGAGAGAGAGCATAACTGAAGATGAACCTGCATACTGGCAGCTCGTGTGACAGGCAAGCGCACCTTTTCCAGTGCCCTGCATATAAACGCAAGGAGGTCACGCCCCTTTCCCCCACTTTTATTGAAACTGTGCATTGTATCTATGCATTGTATGCACGCATTGAAACTGTGCATTGAAACTGTTCCTTCAAACTGTTCCTTCAAACTGTTCCTTCAAGCTGTGCAATTTTTGGCCCCTCCTTCAATTTGCACAACTTTCATAACCAACAGAGGAGCCACATCATTTTGAGAATTTATCAAAATTGAGTGGGTAGTCTAGGTATGCACGAAAGAATAAAGCGGAAGTGTAAACAGTCGGGATGTCCTGTTCGAACTGGTGAATTTATGAGTGGGACGAGACCCCTAGGCGAGGCCCCCGTGAAAACGTGCACAAAGGAAATCATTGAAAGTGTGTACTTGAAAGTGTGCACTTGAAAATGTGAACATAGAAATGTGCAGTTAAAAATGCGTACTTAAAAATGCGTACTTAAAAATGTGTACTTAAAAATGTGTACTTAAGGAGGCAAACTTAGATATCTGCCTTTGATGGCGACATAGGGGAAAAACCCTTTTATGAGGAAAGGAAACTTGGACAAAAAGGCCTACATATTGCACGTAGGAGTTGTATCTAAAAGGTAAAAGTCGATTTGGGGGCGTCCCAGTTGGTAATGAAGTTGACCACGGCTAGGGTATGTTACCTCCTCCTTCCCCCTATGCGCAAGATTCTACAAATCGCTCGGAACGTTATCCAGGATGTCCTTTAAATACTCCGCCAACCTGTACCCAGCCAAAACCATCTGCCGGTTGAGAACATCCTTCAGTTGCGTCAGAAACATTTTACTAACGGGAAATATTTTATCTTTAGATAAATTATCCACGGGTAATTTATTGTAAACATATTCGAGACCCAACTCGTAGGACTGGTGCACAATGGTGTCTATGTATGCAATTTTGTCTCTGAGAATTCTGAGCTGCCTGCCAAATACGCGAGGAGGGAAATAATTCATTAACATGTTAGCATCGCTCTTAAGTTTCTGTACGTCTACATTGGGCCACCTTTTCCTTCTCGAGTTAAAGATATTATCGCATAACTGATGTATATTACCAACGAGGCCTCCATAAGTCACACTAATGTCATTTCCTCCCTTGTCTCCATTCATTAAATGCTCATTAAAAAAATTAAGTGTATGTAGTGGTTGGTGAATATCACCAAATAAATGGATGAAGTACTTTAAGTAGAAATTGTATGAATAGTAGGAACCGTATTGGGGATGCTTCTGAATACTGACCAAAGTCCTGTAAATGTGTTTTAAAATTCCTGCTGCGGTATGCTTCCCCTTATGGGCATATAAATGCTTGGGAGGTAAATACAGCTCCGTGGGATTGTAAGGCGTTTTTACATAATGCCAGTCGTTAAAGATATCTAAAATTTCGCGTCTTTCAAAGGGGAATGGCTCATGGGATCTTCTGGGGTTCGGTGTCTTTATGTGGTCTGGCCATGTTGCTGCACTTAGGATGTTATCAAAATTTCTATCATGGCTGTGTGCAAAGATTCGATCTACGGTTGCCTTTTCATGGTCGTCTAAATTCTCGTACGCAATGTAAGCTATGAGCATATGTGGTTCATCTGACCAGCTGGCTACTCTTTGGATAAAAGGCAGTGCAAAAAATAGGAGTGCATGGATTGGGTTTCTCATGACGTTCACGTGGGCATGTGGGGGTGCGCGTGCATGTGTATATATGTATATATCTATCTCGGTGTGCAGATTGGCGAGTGCAAGTGTTGCTATTCCTGAGCGAGGCACTGTTTCGACCTGGCCTCGAGCATCAAAGTGTGAAACATACGGAGTCAACAGAACGCGAGGATATATGCGCACTGAACAGGTACAACTCACAGGGAGGTATTAATTTTTAAAAGTTTTAAATTAAAAATATGCTTAAAACAGAAATGGAAGTGTCATTACGACGGTTGCATCACAGCAAAGGGGGGTGATAAAAAAAAAAAAAAAAAGAAACTCACAAGAGGAAAACTTTTTAATTGCTAAAGACAGAGGTAAAAATAAACTAGGAGACGCGGTAGAAGTATGCAAAAAGGGGCGAATTCTATAGAACCAAGATAACTACCCTGAATAAGCGAAACTTAGCAAAAGGTGTACCCGTGTTATGGACAGAACTTTGCGCACATCACAGAATGGTTGCTTCAGACATCTGCAATGTCTAACTTTTGAGGTTTACAAACCATGCGCTATTTCTTCATGGCACTATACCTTGCTTAGTGTTAAAAAAGATGTATGTCCTTTTTGACTATTTGTAATTGTGCCTTGTAAGTAGAAATTGAGTATGGGACTCTTTACTCGGTTAGTAAAAATGTATGCACATGTGCATGAACATACGCATGTATGAGTATGCACGGGTAGTACGCATGAGTATGCAGGAGTAACACTCATATGCAATTCATCGATAATTAAACAGAATAAAAATGTTATTTTTGCCTAGGAATATGTTTAAATTAGGGAACTTTCGCGGGAAAATACTAACCATGGGGGAGGGGGCGCTCTGAGGTGAAAATGATTCGCACGAAACGTTTTCATTGGTGTATCGGTATAGAGGGCGGCATAAAATCGGGGTGGAAAAAAAAACAAAAATCATACATACATACGTATACACATATATAACATATTTATATAATGAGCGTAATTCCACCCCATGAAACAACTTTGCACTTGAAGCACTTTAACCAAAAAATGCGAAAATGCATGCGTAAAAATTGCGACACAACAAACTGTATGTCCTCTCACGTGTCTGAAGGAAAAAAAAAATCCGTCCCCCTCCAGCGCCGTACACGCATACATTTGCATGTATGCACCTGTGTAACGCGAAAGTGTGGTCTTATGTACATCCCATAAATGTATACGAAGTGGATGAGCGTTTTGGCATCCTTATATCGCTCTTCAACATGGAAATAAGGAAAAGACACCGCGAAATGTAATTATTTTTGATGATACGAAAATGGGAGAGACTCCTTCGGGTGTTTAATTTTAGGCAGTTTCTCAGAGTCATTACTGCTTCTCTTTGTTCTAATTTGCCTTTATTATTTTTTTTTTTTTTTTTCCATTTTGCGTAACGGAATATTTGCAAAAAGGAAGAGAGGGTAATGGAAATATTTTTTAGACGTGCTATCTTTGGAGAAGTACAAATGTGTTCATAAAAATGTTTAATTAAAAAAGGCCGTGCCTTTTTTATGCATATATTGTGCACTGTTTCGAAAAAATCAGTCCCGTGTTTCGCGGCAAGTGGTATTTCCTCGGCCGCAAAGCAGCCATATGCAATAAATCATGGAATTTTCTGGGGGGTGTACGCACATGTTTTAGAAGTAAAACACATTGGGAATTTACCCCTGCATACGCTACAACGGTCGTGCAAAAGTTGAACAGCAAATGTAATCAACATCGGGGGTGGAAACAAAAAAAATCGGCCAAAAGCTGTTAAACGATGAATAGGTGTACGTCGACTGAAAAGCCTTTCCTGCACGATGTTTTAAACCAAAAGAGTAGCAAAAAATGGAGGGGGGGATCAACAGGGGGAATATCTTTCCCAGCAGATGAGAGACACATTCAGGAAGTGACGAAAAAGGTGCAGATGTACCTAACTGTCATTGTGACAGGTATAAAGCGCAAAAACACGCGTACGTAGGGCATCCCCGCACCGCATACACTTCCTTCTATTTAATGTACTTATGCACCTTCACGAGGTCCTCCGGCACATTTTCAATCATAATTTTTAAGTACCGCCTTAAGCGGTAGCCTCCTAGAGCTATCTGCTCATTCAACATTTTCTTTAAACTAACGACAGAAAAATTATCGAGAACGTAGGAAGTTTTTTTGTTAAGAGTATCAAGGGGGAAGTTAGAATAAATGCTACTGACCGCCTTGCTATAACTATCATTAATGATAAAATCTAGATATTCTAAATCGCTTAAATCATTTTTTAATCTGTCTCCAAAGTACTCAGGGGGGTATATCTTCATCAAGGCAGTTGCTTCTTCCATCATTTCTTTCTTCCCAGAGGTGGGCCATTTTTTACTTCTCGAATGAAAAATGCGATCGCATAAGTAATGCAATTTTTCCACCTTCTTATCATACATTACATGAATTTGAGTTCCTCCGTTATCTCCTTCAGGAAAATGTTTATTGAAAAAATTGATAGTGTGTAATGGCTCATGTATATCCCCGAAAATGTGAATAAAGTATCTTAAGTTAAAATTGTAGGAAAAAAAACTCCCATGATTTTCTTTTCTCTTCACACTTTTTAATGAAGTAAATATGTTCTTCATTACACTTAAAGCGTTATCCGTGTTCTGGTAAAATTTCTCATGGTATTCATTCAGGATAACATTCGTGGGGTTGTATGGCTTACTTATGTAGTGCCATTTGTTCATTAGGTCGATCCCTCCTATTCGCCTAACATTATAAGGGTAGTGGTAATCAATTGGCTTTATGTGGTCAGGCCAGATTGCTCCAGTTACGGGGTCGTTGAAATCCTTGTCTTCTTTGTAGTTTTCAAAAATTTTGTCTAGCACGAACTTTTCTTGATCAGTGAGCCCTTGGTATGCGATGGCACTTACGAGCATGTGCCCTTCGTCTGACCAGCAGGAGATTCCATGGGCGAGGAGTAACACGGACAGTAAGAAGTAAATTACGCGCGCAGCGGGGAACATGTATGCCGGGGGGAAGCAGTGTATACAGAGGGGTGGTGACCAAACGGGGCAAAATGCGGCTATATAAGTTCAGAAAGGTAAGCCTTCTAAATGGAGCAAATGAAGATTCCGTTGCGTGGACCCCTGTTCATGCAAATCAAATCGAAGGAACCCAGAACGGTGTGACAATCTCACCATACCACCGGTGTGTGTGTTCGTTAGCCGTAGAAAAGGGAAGTCCTCTTTTGGGACATGAACAGAGTGGCGCACTATCGTGTAAATGCGTGGGTGAACACAAAATGAATGACTAAACAGGTTCATGTGCAACGGTATGGTTGTCTCGATTCGCATGCACTGCCCCGTTTAGCAGTGCCACGAAAAGAAAAAAATAGTAATGTGCAACCAACCGAAGCGGAAGTAAAACTACATATCTGGCACCTCAATGATGAACAAAAAATCGGTTAATTTCTCGACCACCACGTTTTCCTAAAATATGGAGAAGTGGCGAATGGAGGCCAAGAAAAAAAAAGAAATTAGGAGGTACTTATAACACTTAAGTGACAGCAACAATTTTAAGCGTGCAGATGGGGTTAACTCAACGGAAGAAAAGGCACACAAAGTATAGATGTATTAAAAGTAGAACGGTTTTTAAAAGATGGCTAAGTGCTCATGCATGTACTCCTCTGCGTTGCATAGTGGGTATGTAAATAAAGAGGAGAGGTGAAGCAAAGTGATGCCCACTTATTACTCGTTAAAATGCGGTGCGAACCCTTTCGTTTTAGGAAAGAAAATAAAAATAAATGAGTGATTCGCCGCCATTGGTAGGATTTAAAATGGAGCTAAGTTGGGGAGAGAGCGATAATCACATCATGGTTAGATGCACAAAAGGGAGGTGCATAAGTGATTTGGCAATAGGGCCATTTGTTAACATGGCAATTTGCCAATAGAGCGATTTGGCGAATTAGTGAAGAAAGGAGAGAAAACGAATGACAGCAAAGTGGCTCAGCATAAAGCGGCATAGCTCCCTGCAGCATGGCGTGACAGCAAAACGCCGCGCGTAAAAATAGCCCCAATAAAAGTGAGAACTATGCGCGGGGACGTAGGGACCACGGGAAAAAAGGAAGTTGATAAATTAGGGTTTTATACCTGCACATTTTTACAACACTGAAATGGCGGAAAATGAATTTATTCTCTTTTCCTACCTTGAATTTTTCATTGCACATTTTTATCAACGCGCTCAGCTGTTGCCAAGCAAATTTTGTAGCTAGCAAACTTTCGCCAAGCAACGGCATATTAATAACGAACGTACAGGTAAATAGACATCTCATTCCTGGAAAGAGAATCCCACAAGTTGAGAGAAGTTTGGTAGGATTCCCCCCCTACAAAGGGATTAGAAGCAGGAGGAAATGTTTCCATTACCTGAGAATACATGCCATAGAGAGGCAATCCCAATTTGGCAAAAAATTCAGCCCAGTGGTACCTTTAAAAAGGAGAAATTTTCCAAATGTGCGCAACTTACAGGTTAGGGGGGAGAAGGACATGCACAATGGTGATGGGGTGAGCAGCGGCACGGATAGAAGGAGTGGTAAAAATGGCCTTCAGAGAAACGATGGGACTAAAGAAAAGATGAATGGTAACGAGAAGGAATGCCTGATAGACCAAGAATTGATAAAAAATATAAAAGAAAACAAAAATGGAGATGATGCTAGTACCCCGTCGAGTGAAACAGAAAAGGAGAATTTCAATTTCTTGGAGCATTTCACTTCCGAAGATGACAACTCCTTAGTTAGTAATTTAAAACCAGAAGAAAGCAAAGAACTTATCGATAGCGATTATTTTAAAAAGATGATGGACGAGTTGAACTTAAAAGAGGAAGAAATTATGAAGCTGCTTAAGAGAAGCGAAAAGAATGTTTCCAACTTGATTAATAAAAATTTATCTCTGGAGCAGATTGAAAAAAATGCGAAAAATGAAGAGGCACAAAATGAACAGCTCTTTGATACCTACATGAACAGCAACAGCTCCAAAGTTGGGAACTTTATTAACTTTAAAAAAATTGGGAAAAAATATAAAGACGTTATTTCCCATGTTATAGCCATTTTTCTGAGCAAAGGAAAAAAATTTACCGAAATGGTCAAACTGATAGAAGAAGACAAGAACGAAATTGATAGGTGTACTTCCCTTTTGGAAGGAGATGTCCTTTTCAACAATTTAAGTAAAAATGTCATAACCGAAATTGTTAAGAAGTCCGTTTTACTGGGACACTTGAATGAGAAGTTTTCAAACGACGCAGAGAATTTTGAGTGGAGCAAAGAAATCGAAAGCTGCATTATGCAGTCAGTATGTAATCAGAATTTTAAAATAAAACTGATTACCTACTCGAATAATAGCATTAGTGTGACTTTGGTCAGCTCAAAAAGTGTGCATATAGATTCGGAGGAGTACGACGAGATTGAGGGTTCCATAAAGAATGCACTGGAGGAGTATGAAGGGGCTAATGGCCTAGACATTTTCTCCTCCTTCAACATCCTCGTGCACTTTAATTGACGGAGTGGGCGGTGGGGAAAGTTGACTCCGTGCGCAGTGCGACTTTGAGTAGGCCTCTTCCTTGTGTCGTCGCTCCTACTCGAGGCATACATCCCCCCCTATATCTTCTCAACACAAACGTGAACCAATTACTGCTCGGAGGTGGTTTCATCTTGGTAGCAACGCACCTCTACTTTTTTTTTTTTTTAAGTCAAATGTTAATACGCGCTTGCGGCAAAGCGGCCATGGCGATTGTTCCTTTTAGGGGAACGAAAAAGCAGTGCGCGGATGGGGGAAGCGGAACTTCGCAAACTGCTTTCTCACGCCACTTCTTTTTCACGTCACTTCTTCCCACTCCTTCTTCACGTTTTACAAATTCGCGCGTGGAGCAGCCGTTTCACGCGGCCGATGTGTTCCTCTCCGTAGTAGGACCAGCAAACGATCCATCTGCTTATTCTTCCGGTGTAGGACACGAAAATTCGATGCTGCGCTATATGCACCGGGAAGGAATCCCCCCCCTCTACCTTTTGCAGACGAAGCTGCTGATCAAAATGCATGTCATTCCGTGTAAGGGAATCGAGAAAATTGACTTGTTTTTTGTTATCCATAGTGTACAATCGCATAGACTTTATTATTTCCTTTTTTATTAATTTCACATTTTTAAATTTGGACACCAACGTGGTAAACCAGACTACGTTGTAAAAATAGGAGCTACTTTCCTTAATCATATTTAGGATAAAACCGTATTCTCCCCCGACACGATCGTTGGGTATGTCACTTCTTAGGTCACTTTTTATGTTACTTCTTTGCAGGCTCTCATCCACTTCTTCGATTCCTCTGAAATGTTCCTGCTCACTATTGTAGGACTCACCGAAGGAATAGTTGCTGTCTAGATTATCACCCTTCGCCACGCGAGGTCTGTCGATATCTGCTCCGATCTGCTCACGACGAGTTGTTTTATCCTCTCTCGCCGAGGCAAGCTCATCGTCCACCTTTTGCGACTCTGTAGATTCAACTTGTTCGGTGTCAAAATAAACCACTTCGTTCAGGTGTGCACGGATGTTTCGAAATGGGTTTCTGTTAACTTCATCCAAGGAACTGTAAAATGGAGGGTTACAAATGGAGAAAAAAAAAAAGTCTCTATTATTTACGACGTTATGAAATATTTTCCTAGGATCCTTTTGATACTTGAGCACTACGCTGTTTTCTTTGTTATTTAGTAAAATATTTAAGTAGCAAAATTTCAAAGAATCTAAGTTTACGTCTACCCCTACAAAGGACCAATTGTATATGCAATTCCCTAGTAGTGGGTATATGCAGTTTGAGCCGACCCCAATGTCTAGTACTTTTATTTGGCTGCCGCGCAGTAGGGTGTCCTTCTGCTCGCCCTTGGTCTCCCGCGTGCGGGGTGCCCATTTGTCTAGTTCTTCCACAGTCACTTCGCCAATACGTTCGCTAGTCCTTTTACCAACCCGTTCGACAATCGGTTCGACAATCGGTTCGTCAATCCGTTCCTTAGTCCTTTCACCAGGATGATCAACAGGATGATTACCATGCCAGGCCCCCTTGGAGGCCCCTTCCCCGGGAACCTTCGGCAGCGCAGTCAAGTCGGCTATATAGTGCATGTAATTAGCCCTGCCAGGAATGTTCGGACAAAGGTAGCTGTTATTGTCCCTAGTTTCCTCCTCTATGAAGGTACTCTCGTTGATCAGCACACACTCTTGGTTTTCACTTGGCAAATTTAGTAGCATCTGGTTGTACTCATTATACATGATCAGAAGAGTGTTCCTAAACTGGGCCAGATCATTCACTTGAAGAATAACATAGTCTCCATCTTCACCTTTCGATATTACAGTTATGTTCTCCAAGATCCCATCCAGTGCTTTGGATTGTACATATGGCAAATAAAAGTTGAGGTTGTAGTACTCCTTGAGGGTAGCTTTACTCAGGAAGTAAATAGCTAGAGATTTTCCGAAATTGTAAAATAATTTCCCACTCTTATTTTTTCGTAAAAATTTGTTCAGAAAGGTATGTCTTTTGCTTAATTCTTCAAAATTGGTGAATGAGTTATTCTGCAAATTTCTTTCATGCATTATTTTGGTGTCCCTATCGCTGTGTTGAGAACTGCCACTCCGCCTTCTGTGTGAGGGGCCGTAATTTGGCCCACCCCTCTGGGCTCCCTCTGCCCCCCTGCGATGGAATCCCTTTTGAATTTTCCTATTTTGGACCATTCTGGATGATGGTATAGAAGTTTTTTTTTTACCGGTAGTGGAGAGGCGTGTGGAGGCCTCCTTACTGGACTGTTTTACCGTGACATTTGCATGTGGGGGTGGGAGGTGAAAACTGGTCGATGGGACAAACTACACACAACGGTTAGAACGGAAAACTAAGTGACATGAACGCCACGACGAACAAATTAAAAACTGTGCAAAGCTTCCACATGGGGGATCTCGAAAAATGGAGGAATCCATCACAAAAAACTAACATGTGCACAAAATGGGACACAAAGTGGCACAAAAAATGGGAAAAAAAATGGGAAACAAGAATTGCGAACATAATGCTAAACAGAATGGCGAACAGAATGCCGAACAGAATGCTGAGCAGAAACTGCGCACAAACGGGTACCCCAAATGGCACGCAGAAGTCCCGTTCTACCATTTGCTACTAACCAAGGGGACCCTATTTCTAATCCCCCTCGAGGGAAAACTCGTATGAGTAATTGCTTATGATAATCCTATCTCCCTCTCTCGCACCTACATTTTTCAGCTTAACATTTATGTTCAAATGATCTAGTATTTTGGCAAAAATTTTTGACGTGTCACTTTTGGAAAAATTAAAAATCTTGGCTTGATTTTCGATATATTTTCCCTTAACGATGAAAACATTTTCTTTATATTTGTATATTTCAAATTCAGATGGCCGGAAGTTGTCACTATCTTCAATTTTAGCAATATCGATTGGCTCAGGCAAGCTTTTTAAAAACTCACTTATGGTGTTTTCATCATTGATATTTGAGACTATTTCATTTATCGCTTCTACTGCATTTTCCCCCGTTAATGCAGATATGCAAAATATGTTTTCTATTTTTAACTTTTCCCTTAAATGGTTCATTAATTCAGTCAGATTATCTTTCTTCTCTTTGTATATGTCAATTTTGTTCAGTAGCACCATTTCCTTTTTGCCTTTAAAAATGGGGTCATACTGCACCAAAACGTCTTTTATGTTTCTATAAGTTTCCAGTAGGACATTACTTCTGCTGTTTATGTCAAACATGTAAATTAATATTTTGCAATGTTTCAGGTGCTCCAAGTACTTGTACGATATATTCGATACTTTTTTGTCCAAGTTTTTTATGATTCCCGGGAAGTCGATAACGGTGTAGTTGTTTTTTGCGCCTTCCTCACGCGTTGTATCGTCCGACGAATCAGTTTCTCCCTCCACTAGATCTTCTGCCTCCCCGCGGTTACCCTCCCAAATGGCTTCATCCCCCTCGTTTTCGTCAACAAGGTGGTTTCCCTTCAAAACGGCTTCGTCGCCGTCCTTTTCGTCAACAAGGTTGTCCCCTTCTCCATTGCTCTGGCCCCCCTCCCCCTGGTCGCTCCTAAATATCCCCAGGTTGGGAAACTTGGATGTGTAGCTATAGTTGGCAATTTTTACATTCGCGTTGGTGATCCTATTCAGCAGGGTGCTCTTCCCCACGTTGGGGTACCCAATAATCCCAAAATCAGTAAAAAATATTTTTTTGAGGAAAATTTTTTTTTCCTCTGTTTTTTCCCCAAATTGGCAAACAAATGGGATTTTCAGGCTTTTCGTTCTGTAGGAGTAATTCCCCTTTCCACCTTTCCCCCCCAAAGCGACTAGCACTTTTTGGCCATTTAAATGAATAAAATTAACAAACTTCTTCTCTTCGTCGTATATAATTGTATTTACAGGTATATTTATGCATTCGTCTTTTCCATTTTCCCCATTTTGATTATTGTTTAATCCTTTTCCTCCATTTCCAGCATAGTAAAAAGATTTTAATTTAACGCTTAGAAAATTATCAATTTTTTTATCCCCAATTAGGTACACATTACCGCCTTTCCCCCCCCGGCCACCGGAAGCGTACTTTTTATTTTTCCTCTGCGAAAATGTTGTAAAACAGCATATGCCATCTCCCCCATTTCCTCCCTTAACATTAATTACACACCGGTCATGGAATTGGTTTTTCTTTATCTGCTTTTTCATGCACTGTAGCTTATTTGCTGTGCGACTTGATCGGTTCTTACCCTCCTTGCACTTTAGGCTGCTGTTAACAAAGAGGGTATTATTCTGCCTTCCACACTTGGAAGGAAAACTGTACAAAACAGCCCCCTTGTGGTATATCATAAGGAGCAGAATGGTAAATCCAATATGCATATTCCTTTTGAGTGTCCTAATTTCATCCCTACTGAATGAGGGAGGAGTGGAAACTTGTGATGATGATCCTTATATGTGTGATGTTTGTGCGACCGTTTCATCGTGAAAAAGGAAAAAAATGACACAGCGATTTGTATATTATATATTTTCCATCTCCAATTTGGTGACAAAGGAAGAGGAGACCCCACTGGAAAGAGAAGTGCCTGGCCGAGTGGCCTACATAAAAGTGGGCGTCCCCCTAATGCTCACAAGGGGGAAGTACATATATACGTATATAAACATATATGTGTTTTTTATTTTTTTTTTTTTCCGATTGGGTCACAGAAGAACAACTTATCAGAGAAACCCTTTCGGCGCAAAATCAGCGCATTCAAAATTAAGTTTTCTCATTTGGGTTTTAAAAGGGGGGTATACCCCCCACATGTGTTATGCGTACCTCTCTTCACCAGTTAACATGACGGGCATAACGTGGTCACATTGGCTTCTTTCGAAGAGTGACAAATGCATGGGTAAAAAAATTACAATTCTTATATGTTATAGCAAACGCGGCGGAAGGAATACAAAAAATAAGCGCAGGAACTCACCTCTGCGCGCGTGTTTTGGAGTTAAATTGGGGAGCCGGCTGGGCAAAAGAGCACATTTGGGGAAAACGAAATGTTAACATGAATAACAAGTGTGTCCAGCGCAGGTATGACCACAGAGCTGTGGGCTGAATTTTTCCTTAATGAAAAATTTGTAAAAAAAAATAAATAAATGGGCAAGCAGGCTCCCAGACGAACAAAAAGGAAACAAACAAACGGATGAATGACCAAATAACTGGATGAATAATCAACCAAATGGATGAATAACGGAATTGCCACACCACGGCCAACGTCGCTGCCACAAAATCCAGTTACTCCTTCTCCACCCCCAGAAAGGCGAAAAACTTCTCAGCATATCTTATCTTAAAGTTGGGGTACACGCGCACGATGTTATCTGCCTCGTCAAATATGTACTTCTTTACAATTCCTTTAAAAGCAGAAATGGTGGAGCTTCCCAATTGGCCACACTGCGTGGTTTGCATTATATGACACCACAATTCACTGTTGGTGGTTAAATCACTGGACTTGTCATGTAGGGAAATTAAAATGAAAACGGTTTTCAAGAAAAAGAAGAGGTTACAATGTTGCTTTTTTTTTCCCCTTCCTATTTCGTGTGGATCCATTTGGATGAATTTAAAAATGCGAAAATTTAAGAACTTCTCTTTAAACAAAAAAGTAAATAATTTACTTAAAAAAAGGACTTGCTTTAAATCGTAATTATTGATATTCTTCAAGTAATTTATAAAAACCGTTTTTAAGCTGAATAAAAATATTCTACTTTTAACATTGGAAATATTTCTTAACATCTTGGCATAGGCAACTTTATATTTTTTTTCATACAACAGGGTTTGAATAATTGTCTGGATTACATGAGGGATGTTTTTCTTCTTTTTTAAAATTAAAGATAAATTGTGCACACACTCATTTACGTCCAGACTATTTTTTATAATTAAGAAAATTTTTTTCGGTAAAATTCCTTGAATTTTATATTTTTTTAAAAGTTTACCAAAGTGAGATTCGTTAAAATATTCTTCTTCCCCCGCGATTAGATAATTTAGCTTACAAAATTTGTTCTTCACAGATGTGGCTTCTTCTTCACCGAGAGGGTTATTGTCCCTATCATCTGTCTTAGTTTCGCTCCCTACTAGTGTACCATTTGGATACATATCCTTTTTTTCCATTTCTTCGTTTTGTCTGATTTTTCTCCTTTTGGCGCCTTTTATTCCTCCCTGTGTGTTGGAACATTCGGCACTTTTAAAAATTTTTAAGAATGAAAAAGATACCATTTTCCCCTTGAAGTTATATTTATTTTCAAACTCAATTAAGATGCTAAAGAGGAATTCAAATTTGTTTAAAAAGTGAAATTTCATTGTGCCATTTTTTAAATCATCTATATCTTTGATCAGAAATCGTAGTTTGCTCCTTTCGATGCAAATATGATTCCTCACGATATAATTGTCGATTTGTTTTTTTAAATACTCCGTGATGTAATTCAAGTGACTGCCATCTTCACTTTTTAGCTTCATTCCGCAAATCTTCAAAATGATAATTATATTGTCCACGCTGCTAATGCTTATGTCTTCACACAGCAAATTAATGATATCAGTTATGCAGTCGAAGTCGAGGTAACTGCGGGCATAAAACAGGCAAAAACTCTTCAGTACGTTTCTCAGAATGATTTTAAAATTTTGATATTTCTCCTGTTCCTTTTCGCTAACTAGATAACTATTTTGCGAGCTACTCATCTTCGCTCTGCTGTCTTTTGCGTCCTTTGTACATCCCTGCGTGGGGATACCATATTGGTCTGCCTCACTTGGACGAGTTAGCGGCACACTTTGTCCATTTCGACCACCATTCTCGTTGCCAGCTTGGGGGGTGTCATGGTTGAGAGCCACGACACTGCTCAGCTCATTCTCTCTTTCTACTTTTCTCATCAAATGGCGATTGTCCTCGTAGTATTGTTTAAAAATCCCGGTCAGGGCTTTTAAAAAGTCTTTCAGCAAATTCTGGTATACCAAATTGTTCAGCACACAAATTACCACCACGCATATGCATATGTGAATGTCCGTAGCATTTACATTGTTAAAATGGTTGCACGCTATTTTTGTGAGGGCATCATTAAACATAACTTTTAGTTTCACATCGTTCAGCTCGTGAAAATATTTGCACAGATCTTGAATAATGCATTTTATATTAAACTCGGACGTTTTGTTCAGAGAAATCACGAGAAATTTCTCTATCTTTCGCTTCTTCGGGATAATTGGGTGCCTTTTTCTTTTTCTTTTCTTCCGCTTTAGTGGCTTTCTTCCCTTCGCTTTGCGTTAGCCCTGTGTGACTCCTCTTCTTGCTCCTCCTATCCTTTTGATTCTCGTTTTGCCTCTTCTTTTGCTTCTCTTTTTTCTCCGTGTCTTTCTCGCTTGGTGCATTATCTTGACCTTCGCTTAGAACCCCCTCTTCCTCAGAGGACCTCCCCGGTGTGTCATCCCCCCCCCGAAGGGCATTGTTACCGTTTTTACATTTTTTCTTATAACTTTTCTGAAATTCGCCAAATATGAGGTCTGTCAATTTTAACAAATTCGAGTCAAATCCGTCCTTCTCCAACTGCTTAAAAATTTTTTCCTCGTTACTTTTCCCATCATCCTTGTTGCTAATCTTCAACTTCTTCGACAGGTACGATAATAACCGATTATCCTTTTCTTGCTCAGCAGATATATCATACTTAATTTTGCTATGCGACGCCTTTTTGTGTTTCTTAGGTGGGGCGTTTAAATTGTTTCCCTCGTTGTAATTTCTTTTTCTCTTCATATTTCCTTCATCCTGTTTTGTTGGCCTTCCCTCTAGCGATTCATTTGGGGTATTGATTGTGAGAATATTTTTTTCCTGGACATTTTTTTTCTTTTTGGAAAAAAGAAGCTTCTTTTTCTTTCTTTGTATCCTGGCCAATTTTTTCAGTTCCCTTCTATTCCGGAGGTTGCCTGTACGTTATGGACAGGGATGTGCATATGGGTGGACCTCCAAATACGCATTGGTCCAAACAAATAGGTTGGTTATTTGAATACGCAAGAAGATAATGTGAGAAACCCTAATCAGAACAATCCACACGCGGAGGTGCAAAAGGGGGGGTCTGCTTACACAAATGGAAGGGAATTAATTCCCAACCCCCAAAGTATAGCTTAGGCAAATATATTTATACCTCTATTCATGTACAATGGCATCTTTTTCCAAAGATAGACTTAACAATTGTATGTCCTCAAATTAAGATATGGCTGGGGCGAGATTATAATGCCACCACAACTTTAGGTCATCCGCTGGGTTAGGAAACCAAAACAGGCAGGGAGGCATATGCAAAATGGAGCTCGCCGTAGAAATATTATTTTCTTCTATGTATAAAATATTCCATGGGGTTATGTTTCCATTTTGCGCAACTTCAACTTTAACTTGAATTTCAATTTCGAGTTGAAACTCCAACTTGTTCTACCTGAGGATTTCGCTTAACTATATTTTCTTCTAGCAAATTGGAATATTTTGCAAATCCTTAAAAGAGTTTTCTCTACCCACAGGGATAGCAGGGAATGTTTCTGTTTTGTTTTGTTTTTCCTACATAGCTCCAATTTTAATCGATTCTGCGGGCTGCAGTGACAGGCGATTTTTCACAACAAAGTGGCATAAAAAAACAATGCAGCGCGGTAACTAATGATAAACTGGAAAAAGGGTGATCCAAATTGCGAAAACACCAAAAAACACGCGGTAAATGATAGCGCTAATATTTATTCATTTAAACTATTCAAAGGCTTTATATAAAAAACTGTAGTAAAATATTTTTAAAAGGTTGATAAGGTTAAAAAG